CCAACCGGCGGCATCAGCCAGCCAGCCAGCCAGCCAGCGCGGCGGCTGGCGGAATCAGGCAGCCATGCCCCACACCACAGCCATCAGCCAACAACCGGCGGAATCAGTCAGCCAGCCAGCCAGCCAGCCAGCGCGGCGGCCGGTGGAATCAGCCAGCCAACTCCAACAACCGGCGGAATCAGCCAGCCAGCCAGCCAGCCAGCGCGGCGGCCGGCGGAATCAGCCAGTGATGCCCCAAACCACCTGTCGGAGTCGGCGGCCGGCGGGATCAGCCACGTCCCCATCCGGCGGCCGGCGGAATCAGCCAAAACTACCGGCCGGCGGACGGCGGAATCAGCCAGAAACCTGTCCGGCGGCCGGCGGAAAACAGCTGCGCCCCCAAGATGCCCCACCTCTATTTGCATGTCCGTTTGGCTTATGTTTGTTTTATTGAGCAAGAACTTTCATTTGGTTAAACCATGGGCAAACCACATTAAAATCGCCTCAATCCGTTTCATACGAATGTTTCGGGGTAATAGCACGAAACCGTCACAAACCATTTCCTACTCTTTATTACTCCGGTGTCGTAAAAGATTCGAATAGTTTCAAGTAAATTGAAATAGTTTAGGCATGCTGGCTAAGTAGCAAGTAATCCGCAACGGTTTCAATCTGGTTCATATGATTTAATGAGTAAAAGTCCGAAACTGTTGCAAAGGTTTCAAACCAAATTATGGATGGCCGCAGTTTTATTATGTGTTAATTTTTTTGTTTTTATAATTCAAAATATATTGAACATTATTTTTTTTAACAATATTTTTTTCCAACGTTTGTTTTTTTTAATCTTCGGATTGATAAAAAAAATAACGTCAGGCCTCCACAGACAAAGAGGCCAAAATATTCCACAACCTGTAGGTCTATTGTGGTGACTTTGTCGGTCACTGCACAACGCACAACTGGAAAAATGCATTGCAACATTAGCTTCAGCGCGCATTATCGTATAACCGGGTGGGTCGGTATAGTGATATCACCAATGTATGGGTCATCCTTAACGTGTTTCGCGACGTGGGCCCTAACATGCATGGAGGGAAAAGAGATAGCTTAAGAAAAAAAGACTCCTAGAATCTTTCGTGTGTTCTGGCCAACGACCATTTTAGAGATTTCGATTTTTACGGTTGGGTGGGGCATGTATCGACCCAGCATGACTTTGGTGCAATTGTTTTCGGGGCAAGTGAAACACATCAATTGGTGGAAATCGGCGCGGTGAAACTCTTCGTAGAAGATCGAGCGGTGTAAAGTGAAACACAGCAAATGTCAATTTGCGTCGGCGGCAGTTTGACATGATCAGTTGAAAATGTCTCCACATAGGCGTTGGGCTGAATCTTCTCAGACATCCAAGTTGACGTAGCCTTCCACGTAAGCTTTTGCCTTTGAAGAGATAGCTGACGAAAGGTTGAAATGGTGTCAAAATTTGGTGGAAGAGAGCGGCCGAACTTGACCGCGAGGAAAAGGAAACACCGCGTGCCAAGTCAGCAGCCACGGCCACCAAGCGTTACCTGTTGCTCACCCAGGAGATTCTGCGCAACTAAAAGTAGGCAAACGTGGAGGTATTGGAGTTGATACAACATGGATCACCGCTGGCGGGCGAGGTGGCAGCCGCAGCAGTTTTTCAGTCACCATGCTTGAGTACATGGAGCGACTGGAGCGTGACGCAAGCAGAAGGAATGCATTTGTTTTGCCAATGATAAAACGCTCAGGTGATTCTGAACCAGTTTCCGCAGTAGCGCAGGAGACGGTAGAAGAAATCGACCGTGGATGGGCAGATGGATCGTGGCCGTTCCACTCCCTGGAACGGGGTGCCACGATATCTCGACGCCCTCGCCGAACAGTTTAGCAAGATGTGCATGATCGATGACTATTTAGTGGCTGGAGTAAATGGTAGCTGCTCGATATTTTCTTATTTAGACTGGCATGATACGTTCATTGCGCTGGTTCACAGATAATTTGAAGATATTGGTGCAAACGGTAAGCCCGCTGAGCTCGTAGCCAAAATGTTCGGTCTGAAGAGCGCCCGTTGCCAGATTGCTTCAGGTCGGACCGCTTGAAGTATGGGCATTTTTGCATCTACACTTGCAAAGGTTGGAGCTGTGCAAATTTAGAGATCCAAGACCCTACCGTTTGGAACTACGCACAGTGTGCTTACAGATTTTACAGTAGCTTCCCACGTTTAGCCCGCATGTTGCGCAGCATAGCATCGTGTTGTTTGGGCTCGGCATCATCGCAACAAACTCACCCTTTATGATGATTTCCTGGTGGCGAGCCTTGCCGCTTTGAAGGAATCAGCAGACAGAAGTATGGAGGTTTTAGTGGGAGCGTGTCCCTTTTGGACCTTTGTTCCCGGCGCCCAAGGCCTAGAAGGTGGAGTGCCAGACTATGAGCATATCCGGGGCCGCTCAATCGCTTCGCAAACTACTTGACGGATGCAGCAACGGCGTGAAAATCAGGTCCCATTCAATGAGGGAGACTCTAATACCTGTGGGCTGCCAGGGCTGGTTTTAGCAAGGAACACCGTGCAACACTGAGCCATCATGCAAGTGCAGTTCATGGATCTGACATCGTGTACTCCCGAGAGTGGCAGGTTGGAGCCATCAGAAAGCTCCAGATGTTATTGAAGAAACTCACGACAGGTTTCGGGCCATCTTCTCCTCCGAGAGGAGAGCTGCAGAGAATTGACGACCAAGTCTCCACCAAGTCATGCAGTGTGATAAGGCAGCTTTTACCCGCCTGGGGTCAACGTTACTAGTCAGAAGATGTGGTTGCCAGCTTCGTCCCTTCTTCCCCTGGTTTTGATCCTTCGGAGCGTGTGCTTGATGCCGTGATGGCCAAGGTTCCGGTTGAAAAGAAGGAAGCCAATGGAGGTTGACAGCATCTGCATCGCGGGTCGGCCCTGGAACAAAAGCTAAGGTTCTAATTGGCCAACGTGCCAGTACGCCAACGTGAGAATGGCACCTTTCCTGGGACAAGCATTGTTGGAGTTCCGGTCGGGTCCGACCATTGCACTGTTCCTTGCACCCCTGGCGAAGTCGGAGTCCAGTGGCCTTCGAACACGGATTAGGCCTTACCATGCTCAAGCTTCAGGGCAACAGCAAAGCCAGAACACCAAACGGAAAGGCAAGAACAAGTCCAAGGGCAAGACGCCCCCCATGCCTTTGGAATTGAGAAACAAATGGCGCAAGAGCCCGGCCGGAGAGCCATTCTGCTTTGGGTATATTAATATCTCCAAGGGATGCAGCAGTGGAGTCAAGGACCGCGAGCGCTGTCAGCATGGTTGGCATCTATGCGCTGAACCAAGGTGCTTGCAGGCTCATAGCTTGCAGGTGCACCCAAAGCGCTCATGAAATGAGTTTCAAGATTTGGTTGGGCCAGCAGGTGCGTCAATGAATGTTTCATGATTGAAGTTTTCTCTGGAACTGCAACGCTGTGCTGAGTGCTCCTCCACTTCGATCGAATGAATTCCCCCATGGGTCTACCTGGGCCCACAGCTGATGAAAGATTGCGATTGGAGACAGCAAACGCATTATATCACCATGCATGCGTTCTGTTCAAACACTGCGCAGTGAAAGGAGTGTTGGCGACACTGGAAAACACATCCTCATCATTGTTTTGGCTAACTACGCCCTTTTTGCAGCTCCTCAGTGCAAGTGAAAGGAACTTCACAAATTTTCAGAATTGCATGGCTTGGAGGAGCGAGGCCCGAATGGACACGGTTGGCGGCAAACTTCGAAGCCATATCATTCCAGGATGTGGAATGCGATGAATGGCCCAGTCATTTGCCTTGGGGAAAAACATTGGACTACAAGGACAAGGGAGTTTATGCGACCAGCACACAACCAGAATATCCACGCAAAATGTGCGTGGCCCTTGTTCAATGCGTGCTCAGGCAGTTGCAGAGGCAAGGCATGACTTTTTTTGCGCAATTCTTTCGAAGATACTCACGGCAACCAGTGGTTTGAAAAACCAAGCGAGACGTGCAAAGGTGCCGCCCATCATACCTGACACAAGGTGCAGTTTTCTTTGTAGCGGAGTCCGCTGATGGGCCTCTGCAGGTTATGTCCAAAGTTCAGTTGAAGTCTTTTCAGGCCTTCACGGCCGGAGGAGGGCTTGACACAGTCCTGCAACACGCCAAATATTTGCGACAAATTGCATGTGCTACACCTCATGAATTAAGTGGGCGGTCTGCCTTCGGTCACACATGTTTCGAGGTTGCCTTGAGGTTGCCTTTGGGTTGCCATGGGAACGCCACAGTTTTCTTGCACAAGCCGTGAGATTTGGTCACCCAACGAATTTTTGCAAAATGATCCCCAAAGACATCGAAGCTGCTGTGGCCTTCCACGTAAACTTTAAAGTTCTGAAGAGATAGCTGACGAACGAAGAGCGGCGGAGTTCGACCTTGTGCCAGACAATATTTTGCATGTAGCCGGATTAAATTTCCACACATTCTAATTCCAGCGCGGGGTCCCGCATTTACTTACCCTACTCCGTGTATCGGAAATACCCCTGGCGATCGGAAAGCTGCCGTTAAGCGTCCCCGCAGTCATTTGTACTTCGCATGCCACATCGCCCAACAACGTCCACAGGTTCAAAATTTTGGGGTGACCCAGCTGAAGTATTGATAACAGTACCAAGTAAAACGAAAGGCTCATCACCTCGAACATCTTCTGACAAGAGCCTCAGGAGTTCACATTGTTGAATCATTTTTTACCGTGGTGCAATCATATTTTGTTCAAAATGCGCCAGCACACCAACACACATGCCGTTTCCCTTTCAGGGATTCATGTAGATCTGCACTTCTTGGATGATGGTTGCGCCGTGGTTCAAGCATGGGGATGTTTTCAAGCAAAAAGGGTTCATGGGCTTCAACGGTTGGCGACACGATCAGGATGCCAGCACCCAAAACACGCGCCAAGCACAGCCGCTTGTGTAAAACATTGGGTACTTTGACTGCAGGAAATTCATTGTGAGCCATGGAAGTGGCAGAAACTCTTGTGCAAGAGGACTGTGTTCACATCTGAACCAAACATGTCACCATCGATTCTGTGGTGCAATGGGATGGTTTCCAATTTTTTTTGCCTGGATTGGGTTTTGGTTCGGGTTTTGTCGGCAAAAAAATGACATGCAACACAGAAATGCAGTAGCAACAACCACGCAGTATGCAGGTACATGAAAACATTCCCACAGTAATCTACCAAACACGGCCTCGTACAATATGATGGTAATTATATATAATATTTTGCATGTATACTCGCTTCTTTTTCCCCAACAATGTGAGCTAATGGGGTCTTCAGCCCAGAATAGCTCTGGTGTGCACTGGTGCAGGCGCCGGGTCAGGTTCAACGAGTTTCCGGAAAAAGTTCCGAAGGTTCCGGAGAAGGTTGGGAGGCTTTGGTGCAGAGCCAGCTCACGTCCAACAGGGTTCTGGAGAAGGTTCTGGAGAAGGTCTGGGAGGCTTTCGTGCAGAGCCAGGTCAGGTTCAACAGGGTTGGGAGAAGGTTCCGGAGAAGGTTTCGAAGAAGGTTCCAGGAAGCCTTGGTGCAAAAAAAACAAGTCAGGTTCAACAGGGTTCCGGAGAAGGTTCCGGAAAAGGTTCCAGAGAAGGTCGGGGAGGCTTTGGTGCAGAGCCAGGTCAGGTTCAAGAGGGTTGGGAGAAGGTTCCGGAGAAGGTTCCGGAAAAGGCCGGAAAAGGTCTAGGAGGCTTCGGTGCAGAGCCAGGTCAGATTCAACAGGGTTTGGAGAAGGTTTCGGAGAAGGTTCCGGAGAAGGTCGGGGAGGCTTTGGTGCAGAGCCAGGTCAGGTTCAACAGGGTTCCGGAGAAGGTTCCGGGGAAGGTCTGGGAGGCTTCGGTGCAGGGCCAGGTCAAGTTCAACAGGGTTCTGGAGAAGGTTCCGGAGAAGGTCTGGGAGGCTTTGGTGCAAAGGCTTTGGTGCAGAGCCAGGGCAGGTTTACAGGATTTGCGGCCATTTAACTCATGGAAACCCAGCTGAGGTGTTTCCAGCGCTTGGCTTCGCAGCACGCCTCAGAAGGATTTGTAAAAATAATGCGTAGCGGCTGTTGGGGATACCACCGAAGCTTATTTCATAAAACAACGTGAAATTATACAAATATGATGTGTGTTTGAGTTGTGGGGCAACGTATCATCATGCCAGGGCCAGAGTGATTAAAATTCGATACAACCTGATTCGAAACAGTTTCATTGCATAACTGCAGGTGTTTCCAGAAGTGGTGCTCGATGTGACAGGACAGTGGGCCTGGTTTGGTGTTGTTTCTATTGCTGGCCGGCGTGGGTGGATTCTTATCATCATCTGGTGCCAATGTGATGGCTTGGTCCGAGTACCAGAAACGCAAGGGGAAGGACTCGCCGGGTCGGCGGCGGTTGGGGCGGCATCACTTCAGTTTTGGATTTGCACAGGGAAAATCAATAAAAACACATTTGACCGATTGCAGGGGACAAACTAGGAAACTGGTTTTTGGTTTTAACATGTTTTAACGATCCAAAATGGAATTTGTGTATTTTTTTTGCGTTCGCCCAAATTGAGTCTCTCAAAAAAATGTAAATTTGTGTCCGCAAGTCCTCACACGGTCTTTGGTGCCATCGATTTCGGAGCAAATTTTCAAGGATTCCAGTGGTGGGATGTTCATAGTTCTGGAAACCATTCCCCAAAGGAACCACTGGAGTATGAGAGACTAGAGCAGATGGATGGATGGATGGATGGATGGATGGATGGATCGATAGAGATGGGTCACCCCATTATTACAACATTTAGGGGCGTAACCATCCATTGTTTCAGGGTTTCCACTTTCCACCCGTCCCCATATGATACCAGTACTGGCCAGGAGTGGTCCAAATGTCAAAGTTTTGGTTTCTCCATGGCATGTCTCTTCTTGAACCTCACTGGTAGCTGGCCAAAATTAAACCGGGCTCGGGGTTTTGCGGTTTCCATAAATGGGTAACCCCAAAAAAAAGGAATGGTGTGGACTTGAGAGTCCTCTTAAAATGGGTGATTTGGGGCTACCCGTTTGCTATATTGGCTACTTCTCCTGGGGATGTATTCCAAGCTGGTCATTTGTGAAGTGAAAGGATCATTGCGTTGGATGCAAAAATGATTTGGATTTCCGAGACGAAAACAATGCGCCATTTTGGAAGATTTCCGTTGTGCTGAAAGATGCAGGGGATACAATTCAATGAAGTGTTGCTTTGGACTGAAGAGTTGAGAGTGGTGAGAACTATGGCGTAAATGCCCATTGGATGCTCAGCATCCCCTGAAATCACGGGAGTAACCTAGGGCTGCAATATGGGTTTGCCCAGCATGGGGTATACCCGAATTCATGGCAATTTTGCGTCGGAAAATGATGCTAAATCATTGGGCTTTAATTGTACTGGTTCTCAAACGGCATCTCAATCTCAAGTGGCTATTCGTCCCCTTACAAAAATATGAATTGAATCTTCATTGCTGGTATTGAACCTTTTCAGCTTTTCAGATCATTTCCCCCATGTAAAACAAATATCTCATCACATCATTCCAAATTTCATGGAGTAAAAATGGTTTTGTCTGAAAATACGCCCCCCCCAACAAATACAATGCTTTCAGACCGCATTTTCCCCATTCTTTTCATTGCTATAATTTGACGTATCCATGGGTATCCCTATTTTCAGATCGACCCAGAGAGGTTTTTCCAGGACGAAAACAGTTGAGGTATCGGCATGTTCTTGGCTTCCACCGCCCTGGGCGGAGCGGTAGCCACAGCATCTGGGATGCAGATTTCTGCGGGAATTTGATGTATGAAAAATGATGAAAATGGGAAGTGATCCAGAGAAACTGGAGGATTTTGGATTTTTCTTGTGGCAAGCAATCGTTTTTCTTTTAACTTATGGGTGAAATAGGCACTGTCATTCTGGGACATGACATTTTCGCACACGTCAATTTCGCCGTTTGTATTCCCCACACAGGACTTGGATTTTCTCACCAAGTCCCGACGGTTTTTCATTGTGAGCCTGAGGTGATGCCCATCCAAACCGGGGCCAACTTGTTGGGAAACATGTTCTGGCAAACTCTGCTGGGCATGAAATACTATACCAAGCACCTTGGGCAACATGCTGAAACTGCAGAAACGTCTCACGTATTTGGTCATAGAAAAGGGCTCTCCAGACCCCAGATATTTTCGCATTGTGAGGGGCTGTGCGTTCAGTATCACGTTTTTGTGGTGAAATGATAGTGGTGAACTGGTGAACCTTTGCGATGTTTACAAAGGAAACACGACTAGATCTTGTTTATTTGAGTCGTCAATTGTTGGGATAAAAACATGAGCTGGTCATTTGATCCAACTTTCAGGAAAGCAAGCAGACTAAATTTTCGGAGGATGGATAAGTTCTTTTTTGGCAAACCTAGCAGCCAACAAATAAGAAGTAAGAAGAAGAAGCCCAGGGACTCACAATTCCGGATGTTGGGGAAGATACCCATTCTGGATGCCATGTACTTCAGGAGCATGCGAGTTGGCACCATTGTACTGTGCCTTGTTTGCAGCGTGGGAAAATGCGGCAGTGCTCTTGAGGCCAGCTATGATGTTTGACATTTGAAGCGGCCTCTTTGGATGGGAACCGAGGAGTTTTCAATCAAATTCATTGATCGGGAAAGGTATACTTAGTATATACTTAGTATATACTTAGTATACTTAGCAAAAACTTGTAGGTAGCCGCTCAAACCCAACATTTTCTGATCACCACTGATCACCACCACCCCAATTGATCGCAGCAACGGCGATGGGAAACATCAGGATCTGCGCTGTAATGGAGCTGTCGGATATTGGGCCCCAGGAGATCTCGAGATGTCTCGTGGTGAGAAAACGCTTGAGTTTCAAACGCTTGTAAATAGTATAAATCTATATATAAATCTTACGAACAAATCCTCAATCTTCCAATATTTTCCATAGATTTATGTTATGTAAATGTAAATCAGACATTTTGTGGATAGATTCTACGAACAAATCATCAAATTTAGGGCATGGTTAATGATTACATTGCTGCTGTGGGTGCGCGTGTTGCCCTCTGATCACGGAAGCTAGGAGGTATCCGGGGGAGCTGGAACCTCCAATCCCATGAAACTTCATAGTTAACTACCGCCCCCCCCTTGGCTGGTTCACAAGCAGTTTGGCCGTGGCTGGATTCCCTCAGGGGACACCCCTGTCGCCATCGGCGGCAAAACCGGCAGCATCCGCATCCTGAGCATCGTTGGCGTCGTGAACAGCGCATGCTTCAAGTCACTGGTGCAGCTTCGCTCACCATTGGCATGTTCATGGCTAGCTTCATTTTCATTTTGAACCTTCACACATGTAGTTTCCAGTCAGTTCTCACAGTGGCAAGCCTGTCTTGGACAGAATATTCCTTTACACAGATGAGTTTGCAAAGATCCTTCCGGAGCAATTGCACTGGCATGCTTCCGCTTTTTGTCCTCATGACATCCTACCTAGCCGCGCATCCAACATCTTCTTCTCTTGCAACTTCTAAGCCTTGAAAGGTCCACTCCTTGAATCTTCTTCCTGTTTGGTGACCACCACGCTACTGAGTGGGAGTTTCCGCAAAATTTTCACGCGCATGATACATAATCGTGTTGTTTTCATTTGTGACATTGATTCCCGTTCATTCTATACCAAGACATGGAAAACTTTGTCTTAGACATAATTTATATTAATATCCCTTTATACAGATGAATTTGCGAGTATACTGGGTGTTTTCATGCCAAGCTCCCTGCCAAGCTAGCTTTCGCCACTTACCCCTGGGCCTCGTCCATGCGACCATTTGGGGGCAAACTTCGCTTTCGGAATCCTCATCTCTTTGTGTGACGAGATCAAAGAGGGTCCATAGTCCAGTCGGATTGTACCATTTCGAGCATTTTCGAAATCCGGTCTCCCAATTTGTACAAGGCAATCACCCAGGTATCTCGAGAAAGTCTGGTGATTTTACGTCACATGATGTGGTCAGGTTGGGGTATCCCTGGTGGTGATCTTTGGTTTCCCTCATTCCTGAAGCACCAACCATGAATCCGAGAACTTCCTGGACATTGTGTCAGCTAACCTTCTTTTGGCTAGATCTCTTTGCCATCCTTGGTAGTTCAAAGTCTGCAACTGTTTGCATGCTTTGCACTCTGCACTCTTCCTGATTTTTCTGTGTGCAGCCAACTATTTCGGTAAACATGGCATTTCTTTTGTATCAGTCGATTTGTGATTTTCATTGAAATGTTCCCTTTTTTTTTCCTGGCTAAATTTGAACTTTCCTCACTCATGTAGATCCCACTTTCTATGAGTTCGATCCCCATTCTTGCCGATTAAATCCCGGTCAACTCCCATTTTTTTGACCGAAATCCACCATGTTTCCGGCCAAAAAAGGAGCCCGCTAAGTTCACTCAAGAAGAGATCAGGGAGCTGATGACGCACCCGGTGCCATGGCACCAGGGCGCCAGATTTAAGCCACAAAAACCAACAGTTAATGGGAATTTCAATTTTCAAGGGGCATTTACCATTCATAGCCAAGTTAGATCTCAGTGAACCCCAGTAATAAACCTACCAAAAATGTCAGATTCAGCCATAATAATTGGGTTTTTGTTGGATAAACCCACTGACGATGTTGTAAAGCTTCAGTTCTGCCCTGACAATGTTGCTGGATGACTGCTGGTTGCCTGGCTGTAACTGTCAACATCTGCTATTGCACAAAGGGATTCAATGTTTAGAGATATATACCTTTAAAGCATTCTGGTGTGTCATTCTGCAGCATCTCATTTTGCTTCATTTGCTGGTCTGATAGACCTTTAAAGAGGTTAGGAATAGTTGTCCCTTCACCAGCTATCTATATTCTCTCCCCATCCTTCTGTCCACCTGCTTTTCCCAAAAAAAGTTCGCATCGTATCGTAGCATATGCTCCACAAACACAGATCCGGCACATCCACGATGAATATATAGATCATTGTCTGGGAAAATCATGTCTTTCCCAGTGAACACCAAGAAATATATATATATCTTATCTCATTTGTCTCTTAACCTTTAGTTGAGGCAGGGTTGCAGCACCGGTCACCACTTGTCGTCATCCTCAGAAGTGGAGTGATACGAACTGGCTTAGTAGCGCTAAGAATGCGCAGCCAACCACTAGTTTTGGGGATGACAGAGGCTTTTGAACAACTGATCATTTGTTCTTTCTGTTGATTCCGATTTCTCCAAAAGGATTCGCTCAAAAACCGGGCGCCGTCGAACCCCTACGCATGTCCAGGGAAGAATGTTTCAGTTTCAATTTTTTTTGGCCAGTCGTTTTGAGTCATAAGATTTGGGTAGCTTCAATCGTTCTAGTGCTTGGGTCATCATGTTCCCTGCTAAACTTGCAGTAACTTGGGGATCAATTCCGATCGGCCGCCCTAGTTGGCCATCGCCTGGAATTCCATCATGCTGCTCTGTGTTGTGCTGACCATGTATGGAGTGAAGAGGACCCGCTAACCGTGGAACTAGCCGGCGGTTCTCACCTTGGGGCGCTGGCATGCCGTGGCGAAAAACTCCGAAAGCTGGGGAATGGTGAAGTGAACAGAGCTAGGTTTTTATCATGTTGTCACGAAAGCTAGCGTCAGCTAGCTGGAGTCTTCTTGCTTTAGCAAGTATTGGGGGGGCTGCTCAAGGACATCACGTGATTTTTCACGCGAAAGGGGGGGACCCCCCCCCCCTTGTTTTTGTTTCGACCTAATACCTACATAGGTACATGCATGAGTATTGAGCACATTTATATGCGCCCTTCAAGGCTCAAGAGGTATATAGAGTAACCCTGTATAGACAAGCACGGACCGGCAACAGGCTGAGTAAAACAAGTGCTGTCATTGGGGAAGACGCCTTAGCTGATCTTGAAGTAGACGCTAGGGCCCCTCTTCAAGTGGTAGCGGAGCAGTGATCCCTCATTGAGGGTGAGCTCCAGGTAGAGCCCAAGAAATGGCAAGCCATGGCTATGATGATGATGACTTCGACATTGTCGATGCAAATGAATGGAACCAATATGACTCTTATGCAATGAGAAGAGCACCCCAGCATACACAGATTCATATGACGCAACAGATGACCACAAAGGTTGCTCCAGCCTATGATGGGCGAACCAGCTTCTTTGCTTTTGAGGATGCAATTGATGACTGGTGTGACATTACGGAGTTAGAACCAGAGAAACGTGGTCCAGCATTGCGCAACAGACTGGAAGGAGATGCTCAACAATACAAGAGGCTATTGGATAGAGAATTACTCAGGGATCCCTATGAAGGAGTGGCTTATTTCAAAAGATTTCTACGACCTCATTTCATCAAAGGTGCCCAGAACGTGTTCTTATACCGTTTCATGCAGTTCATGAAGTTCAACAGAGGAACAATGGATCTTCAGAAGTGGATGACTAGATTTCAACTCACTGGCAATAGACTTATTGAGTCTTGGATGGATTTACTTCCAGAAGTAACAGTGACTAGTCCTGAAGCAATTCTGTTTGTTCAACAACGACGTCAAGAACATGAACGAGATCAACAAGAGAGAGCTGAAGTAGCAGCAGCCTCAGGAACACCCCATGTAGCTGTTCCTTGGACAGATGAACTGGCACTAGCGGCATTCAGACAATTTCAGGAAAATCGTAGAGAAGCACAGCGACAAGCATTCCCACTGGGTGAAAATTTGCTAGCATTGATTTTTGTAAGTCTAGCTGACCTGAGTCAAGATCAGAGAAACACACTCACAAGTATCATGACACATCGTGGACGAACCCTCGATCGATACAGTATTCAAGAACTACGTGACCTGTTTTTGGAAATGTTTTGCACTACCAAAACAGCAGTTGACAATCCATTGATGCAACCCTCTGGCATGGCACAGAGAAGATCTTTCCTCGTACTGGATGAAGGTGAATTAGAAGGAACCGACGGCTATTGGGCCGAAGATGAAGAAGACGGCGCAGAAGGATTCCTGGATGCCTTAGAAGATGTTTTCTGGGTTTATGATGACGCCAACTTCACATGGTATCAGAGAAGGTTCCAAGGCAAATACATCAGACGAGGCAAAGGTAAAGGAAAGAGAAAAGGAAAAGGAAAAGGCAGAGGAGGACGAAGGTTCTTCAAATCAAGAAAAGGAAAAGGCCGAGGAAAAGGAAGAAGAAAAGGCCGTGCTCACATGGTGAGTGAAGAAGGTTATGAAGATGAATGGCAAGAAGATGAATGGAATGAAAACTATGACGGCTATTGGGCCGATGATCAAACCTGGAATGAAGGCTATTGGGCCTATGATGATCTGTACTACATGGATGAGTATGGATACTTCCAGAAGAAAGGAAAAGGAAAAGGAAAAGGAAAGAAAGGCAAGAAAGGCAAGGATG